TATATATATTTTTTATATTCTTTATTATATTAATATTATTTTTTAAATATATATTTGGGTTGACTTGTGTATTTCCTTCCCATTATTTTTTATTTTCTATTTATTGTATTCAAATGCTGTTTTATTTCCCCCCACTCTATTTCTTTTTCAAATACTGGAAAGTGACATTTGTATTCTTAGATTTTTAATATATTACAGTTTTATTCTATTTTAATCATCCTTTTATGTTATTCTTATTTTAATGTATTTATTGCTTTGTTTCTTTTGAGGGTTCACTGGTGAGTTTCTGCTTGAAGAGCAACAAAATTTGTCCAGAGGAAAAACAATTTACTTCTTTCTTTTTTGTTTTTAAATATAATATTTTAACAGGTTTTCATTCCGTTTTTGTTCTGTTTTTGGTCTGTTTGTTGGATCTGACATAAATCTGCTAAACCTGTGAAAATTGGAACATTGTAGAAAAGGAAGAGGAGAAAAAAGGGAATATAAGGCCGAGGCATGCGGAGGTTTGTGTGTGCAGGTGCTCCTTCATGTGGACAAGATGTGACGTGCAACTTTTAAATATTAGTGACTATTTTGTGTTTGCTTTAAAAATTATTTGTTGTTCATATGCATATGATTATGTGACTTTATTTGTTTCTTCTTTCTATTTGGGGTTTATTAATATTTTTTTGTCATTCTAAAAAGATTTATTTATTTACATTTGTTTTTTATAACTTTTTATTTTCTTTTTGTATTTTGGGGAGTGACTTTGTAATCTTATTTAATGTTTTTATTAAGTTTTGTTTGTCTCTTTTGTTTGTAATTTTTTCAGATTTTTAGTATTTCTAAGAATGAATTATTCATGAATTTGTTTTCTTTCTTTCTTCTTGGAGAATTCATTTATTTACTTTGAAGGCTTCATATGTTCTTCAGTAACTCTCTGACCTAATTACATGCAAGTCAAAGTGCTTGAAGGAGTTCTTGTTAACTGGTTGATTGGATTTACTGATGTGGCAGCTGAGGATTGTGAACCCAGATTTGAACCCAACATCGACTAATTAGATTAGCAAATCTTCTATCTTCTTTCACTGTGGGATATAGGACACGTTTTTATGCTAACTTTATACACATTAGTGAGTAAGTGTCCAGTCTTGCATATTTACAAAAAACAAACAAACAAACAAACAAAAAACAAAAAACACACATTTACCATCAAGCAGGTGATGACGATGACGAATACAGTGAAGAAGAGGACGACAGCATAAAAGCCTTCTCTGCTCCACACGTGGTCCCTCTGCTCGCCCTGAAGGACGTTTTTCTACAGAGGAAACGAAATTTAAAATCCAGTTTGTGATCATCTGTTCAGGATTTGCTTTATGACCTCCTCACGGTCTGTGTTAGGCTGTGAAGGTGGGAGGCAGATCTGAAGACGTTCAGTCCATCATGATCTAATATTTCCCAACAGGCCTGCATCTGTCAGCTCGTACTTCCTGAGAATATCTGATTTCAAAAAATTTCCACAAAATGATTGAAGCTATTCGTCCAGAATATGTGAACACAGTTTTTGTTCTTCACAGTGATTTTACAGCCTTAAGCTGCATTTATACTTGACCTTTACTTTAAAGTTTATTAGATTTACAGACTCTGGTTTTGTTTTGGTTTTTTTTTGGTAGCACATTTTACAGTGGCTCCAAATTTTTTGCACAGTACTTTAAAGATCACCATAAAGAAGATATTATAGGAGCTGCCATTCAGTCAGAGATTAATAACCTCTGACTGAATGTTGTCACTGCAGTCAGAAGTCTGAGAGCATTCAATATTCAAAAACAGATTTTTGGTGGATTACTCCTTTAACGCAGCCTGATTGTGGGCATCTGCTTCTCACTGACACCTGTGGGAAGTTTCTGATTTGTTGCTGTAATATCGCCACAGAAGAAGAACGGCGTTAGTCACAGCTGCGACTGTGAGTGATAATATTAACTTAA